ACTGTGCTAGAATGTGCTTGTTCTAAATGAAAATCACATCTTCTTTGATTTTCAATTATGACTTCCAATGATTCACTTTCTGCTAAAGAGCTCCGTGGTGGATGAAGATATAGCCGCAGAAAAGCCGCACCGTTATGCACCGTTAACCCATGCATGGTTCAAAGCGTGGAAAAAAAGTAGTGGCTTATAGTCCGAAAAATACGGTAATAAAATCAAATGATTCCACGTAGTTTATGAGCTATTCATCTGTGGTGGCTTGAACATTTATAACCTCACAACTTCCTGGTCTGCATTACTCGTGTGTAATTAAATGTCTCAGGGTTTTGATGTTGATCTGGAGGATAATTCTGTGCACTGTACTACACTGGACAGTTGTATTACAAGCTCCACTTCTACCAAAAATGTTAATTTTTAAGATCAGAAGTTGGCAATTCTCTGATCAAGGGCATCCCCGCAAGACACAGTTAGTAGTTTAGCTGTGCCAAACACACTAAACAATTTTTTTTTAATTGATGTAGTAAAAATGTAAAGATAAGGTAATTCTTTTCCTCAACTTCCTTGCTAACAAGTGCTTACAGAAGGAGCTGGACAGGACAATGAAGAATGAAAGTGTTCTGCGCTCCCTGAGGAGACGGCTTCAGCAAGAATTTCATTGACATGATGGTCCCTGCCTACCTTCCAGGCGGCCCTCTGTTCAATGCAAAAACAACCAGGGCCATCTGAAGGGGATTAGACTAAACCCTGCAGTACAAAAAGCCTTTAGAAGTTGATCTGAGTTATAGATCTGAGAGCCTCTAAATGGGATGATGCAAAGTATAAGTATTTAGGCTTGAAGAGTTTTTCTTTAGGTTGTTTTAAAACTCTTTCATTGAAAGTCGTCTTCTTATACGTCCTGTGGTTGCTCCTCATATCACAACTGAAATGGTGAAGCAGAGCTCGTGTTTTTTTCCTTCTGAACCTTGTGAGATTAGAAAAGCTACTGGAATTGCTCAAATACAGAATCTCTTTGAACTCCATGACATCATCAAGCAAAACTCAGCTAATCTGAAGAAAACAAAGCTTGTTCCCTGTTCTCACCTGCCTCTGTCGGCTCTGTTCACAGTTGACTTTTTGTTGTTACTCCAGTGTACCAGATGACTACATTGGCCGTAGGAATCTGGAACATGTTGAGGCCTTGCAGGAGAACCCCGTCAACTCCAATCAGGTTGCTATCGGCTACGGACGGGGACTGATGGTCATCTGGGATTTGGATCACCGCTGTGCCATCCGCCACATCCCGGCCACTCAGGTAAGTGCCAAGAGTGGGAGTGTGATAACCCAGCTGCCAGTCCAGCTGCCCTAATCCTCTGAATGTGATCCACCTGTAGCAGCTGGAGAGCATGTGGTGGACGGAGGATGGAAGCTGCATTCTGAGCTCCCACAACGATGGAAGCTACTGCTGCTGGACATTGAGGACTGGGGATGAAAGAGAGGAAGAGGAAAAGTCCAATGTTCCATACGGTGAAGAAGAAAACCTTTTTTTTTTTTTCCCCCATTTGAACTTCCTAACACATTTGTAATGTTTGAGGCTGATCATTTATTTTCTTGTTCCAGGACATTTTCCTTGCAAGGCCATCAATAAAATAGTTCAGCTTCCGACTGCAGGAGGGTGAGCTCATTACACTTAGCAGTTATTTAGTTGGACAGTGTCCTCAGTAAATTCTTGCAAATGTTGAACCTGGACATGTTACACATTAACCAGTGGGCAAACCGAACTGAACTGGATCTTGTTTGTGTAGGCCTCCGTTCCTGCTGTTCAGTGGCGGCATGCCGCGGGCCAGCTACGGGGACAGACATTGCATCACTGTGATCTACAGTAAAACACAAGTGGCCTTCGACTTTACCTCCAGGATCATCGACTTCTTTGTCACCAGAGATGGCCCCCAGCACACAGGCAGGCTTGAAAACCTTAGGACTTCCTCCTCGTTGGCCTAATAAACCGTCTAGCATTGTCCTGCTGTTTTAGTACAATGCAGGAAAAGAACCTTTCTGAAAATAGATTCATGCAAAAGGAATTCAAAGAAACTATCTTTAGCGACTGCTCTAATTTAAAATGCTAGAATTCAGTCATTATTCGTAGAGATAGACAGAGTGATAGTTTTAGATAGAGTACTGTCTAGAAACCATTGAACATATTCACTTTCCAGGGTGCCACTGGGATTACTTACTGTGTCCACATGTGTCCAGTTACTGCATTTCAAAAGCTGTCAGAACAGCTTTTGAAATGCAGGATAACAATTATTGTTGGGCTTAAAGTGGACATATAATGCATTTAAATCCTTCCTTTTCACATGTAAATTATTTGCTCATAATCTATATAATGTAGAACTGCAATGC